AGATGACTGACACAAATTAAAACTCACTATGACCACTCATTTACTGTAACAACTAAAATTTTAAAAACTGATGAAACCAAGTGGTGGCAAGATGTGGAGCACCTGGAATTATCACACACTGCCTGTGGGAAGGCGGAATGGTACAGTCACTCTGGAGAACAGTTTGGCGGCTTCTTTTCAAGTTAAATATACCCTTCCATATGACCCAGAAAAATTCCACTCCTGGTTCCTTACCCAGAAGTTAAAACATATGAGGGGGGACTCAAAGAAACTAGAATTTATTTATTAAAAATGGTATATTTATTCTTACACATTTTAGCTTCAGTTACCTTCAAAGTACTCTCCATTTGATGCAATACACCTATGGATTCATTTTTCCCACTTCTCAGAACAGTTTTTGAACTCGTCAATATCGATGCCTCTTTTTTTTACTGCTCCTGTCATTTTTTGTTTCACCTCGTCCACATCAGCAAAATGTTTCCCTTTGAGAACTTTTTCACCCAGGAAAACAAAAAAAAAGGCGCTCGGGGTGAGATCGGATGAATAGGGAGGGTGGGGCATGGGGGTCATGCCATTTTTTTGGTCAAAAAATGCTGAACACTCAGTGTGGTGTGGGCAGGTGTGTTTGTAAATCACCCATCATGAAATGGGCAAACACGTTAAAGACTCAACAAAATTCACTGAGAACAATAAAATAAAATAATACAAAATAACAATTAAGAAAATTAATAAAAATATATTAAGAGCTTTTAATAAAAAAGAGATTCACTGAGGCCAAATGCAGCCTCTCACAACAATCCCGGCCAGTCCACCGATACAGACGGGAAGCCTGGACTCCAGCAGCGAGGGAAGCCTGTACTACAAGGGACCTGCCCTCCAGAAGATAATTCTGGTTTTGGGGGGTTCCCCCTCGTATACTTACACCAAAACCTGTATGTAAATGCTAATGGCAACTTGATTCAAAATTGTCAGAAACTGGAAACAACACAAGTATCCATCAACAGGGAAATAGATGAAGCAAGTGTAGTGATTTCCAACAGAATGCTACATATCGTTAAAGTGGAATGAAGTATTAATGAACAATAGCATGCACAAATCTAAAAAACATTATGCTAAGTGAAGGAAGCCAGACCAAAAGAGTACATCTCCCATAATCCAATTTACATGGCATCCCTAAAACTAATAAATACAGGGGTAGAAATCATGGCCAGGGGCTGTGAGAAAAGGGGACGGACTGCGCAGGGAAACAACAGAACGCATGAGGATGACAGAAATGCTCTATATCTTGATTACAATGATGGTTATATGATTACATGTGTCAAAACACATCAAACTATATACCTGAAAGGGCGAATTTTACTGTTTGTAAATTATACATTGATAAACCTATCCTTAAAAAGTATCAAGACTTGTAAAGGCTTTTAATATATGTTGCTAAATTGCCCTTCCATTAACTTAATTTCTTCTACTCCCATTGAATTTACATCCCACTGGTATTCTACATCTCTACCAGGCTCAGAATAATCAGATTATTATTTTATAAGAATAAGTCTTATAATTATAATTCTGATTATAATAATCAGACTTTTTCCAATTGATAAGTTATTTAAAAATGTTGCCTCACTGTTTTAATTTGTATATCTCTCAGTTTTTAGTGGTAGTGAACTTTTTCTCATTTATTTCCTTGGACAGTGGTATTTCTTCTCTGTTCTGTTATTCACTCCTTTTAATCATTGTTTTAAGAAAGTATTTGGTGTTTTTATTAAATTTTTTAGATTTTACTATCTTCAATATTTCAGTTTCTCATTTGCCTTTCAATATTTCAATTTTGTAAATATACTGACAGCTTAAAATTTGAAATTTCTCAATATTTTCTAAGATATTTTCTTTCAGACATTTTAGAAATTTCTTTCCTCATTTAAAGTTCAGTTAAATATTCAACTATATTTTTTGTAATTTTTTATAGACTCAATATTTTTAACTTTTAAAATCTTACCACTCTAATATAGTGGGTACTAGCCACAAGTGACTATTAAAATTCAAATTCATTAAAATTAAACTTTTCCCCTATGTTTTCTACTAGTTTTATTATTTTATGTCTTATATTTCAATCTTGAATCCATTTTTTATTAATTTCTGTATACAGTGAAAGATAAGAGTCCAACTGCATTCTTTTGCATGTGGATATCCAGCTTTCTCATCACCATTTATTGAGGAGACTTTGGGGACTCTGGTCAAAGATTACTTGATCATGTACACCTGGCTTTATTTCTGAGCTCTCTATTCCATTCCATAGGTCTGTATCTGTTCTTTATGGCAATAGCAAACTGTTTTAATTACTTTAGCACTGTAATATAGTTTGAAATCAGGAATATGATGTCCCCAGTTCTTTTCTTTCTCAAGACTGTTTTCACTATCCAGGGTATTTTGTGGTTCCATACCAATTTAGGACTGTTTATTTCTCTGAAAAATGACATTGAAATTTTTATAGGGATTGCATTAAATCTGTAGATTGCTTTGGGCAGTATGGGTATATTGACAGTATTAATTCTTCCTGCCCATAAACACAGGTCTTAGCAATGATTTTTTTGTAATTTATACCAAAAGTACAAGCAACAAAACCAAAACAAACAAGCCTTTATCAAACTAAAAAGACTCTACACAGCAAAGAAAACCATAAAAAAAAGTGAAAAGGCAACCTATGGAATGGGAGAAAATATGTGCAAACCATACATCTGATAAAGGGTTAATATCCAAAATATATAAGAACGTAGACAACTCATTAACAGCAATGTCAACAAAAACTCAAATAACCCAGTTAAAAACAGGGCAAAAGACCTGAATGGCATTGCCCTAAAGAAGACACACAAATGGCCAACATGAATGTGAAAACGTGCTCAACATTATTCATCATCAAGGAAGTAAGAATCAAAACCACAATGAGACATCCCCTCACACCTGTTAGGGTGGCTACTAGCAAGAGGACATGAGAGAGGTAAGTGTTGGTGAGGGTGTGGAGAGTAGGGAACCCTGTACACTCTTGGTGAGAATGTAAATTGATATAGTTATTATAGAAAACAATGTGGAAGTTCCTCAAAATAATTAAAAAATAGAAATCCCACTTCTGGGCATAATCCAAAGCAAAAGAAATCATTAACTTGAAGAGATACCTGCACTTCCAAGTTACTGCATCATGATTTACAATAGCCAAGATATGTAAACAGACAGTGCCCACTGATGGATAAATGGATTAAAAATGTGATAAACATATGTATATATAAATGCACATATTGTAGTGGAGTGTTATCCAGCCATAAAAAGGAATATATCATTTGCAACAACATGAAAAAACTCAGAGAACATTATGGTAAGTGAAATAAGCCAGACACAGAAAGACAAATACTGTATAATCTCTCTTATACGAGGTGTGTGAAAAAATAGAACTTATGGAACCAGAAGTAGATAGTGGTTGTCAGGGGCAGGGTAGGTGGAAGAAATGGGAAGTGTTGGTCTCATGCTACAAACTTTCAGGTAAAAGATGAGTAAGTTCTGGGGAGCTGATGGGGACTCATGGGGAGCTTATGGGGAGCACAGTTGTTACTATGCTGCATGCAACAAATCTGCTGAAGAAGTACATTTTAAGTGTCTGTACCACAAAACAAAACAGAAAAAAAGTCTACTATGTGAGCTGACGAAATGTGTTAACTTGATTATGGTAATCACTTTTTTAGGTTTTTAGAGTAGTTTTTAGATTCAATTTTTGTAAATGCAGGTAAAACTGAGTAGAAAGTACAGGGAGTTCTCATATGCTCACAGCCCACCCCCAATACAACCTCCCTTACTAACAGTGTCCCGCACCACAGTCTAACATCTGCTACAATGGATCACTCGACATTGACATTATCATCCCACAAGTCTGTAGTTCACATCAGAGTTCACTCTTGGTGGTGCACATTCCATAGGCTTCGACAAATGTACAATGACATGTACATACACACCATTGCAGTATCATACAGAACAATTTTATTTCCCTAAAAATCCTCTGTGCTCCCTATTCACTCCTCCCTCCCCTCTAACCCTTAGCAATCACTGATCTTTTTAATATCCCCATAGTTTTGTCTTTTTTAAAATGTTATACAATTGGAATTATACAAATTTTCATTTAGTAATATGCATTACTTAAGATTCCTACATGTTTTTTCTTGTCTTGCTCATTTCTTTTTAATACTGACTCATACTGCCCTATCTGGATATGCCACAGATTATTTATCTGTTCACCTATTAAAAGACATCTTGGCTACTTCAAGTTTTGGCAATTACAAAGAAAGCTGCAATAAACATCTATGTGTAAGTTTTGTGTGGTTTTAAGTTTTCAGCTCCTTTGGATAAATACTAAGGAGTGTAACTGCTAAATCATATATAAAGAGTATGTTCAGTTTTGTTAAGAAAATGCCAAATTGTCTTCCACAGTGGTCAGGCCATTTTGCATTCCCACCAGTGTGTGGTAGTGTACAACCCACATTTCATATGCTTAATGGCCACATGTGGCTAATGGCTACTATACTGGACAGTATTATACAGAATACCCACCATCACAGAAAGTTCCACTGAAACTGTTGCTCTATTTAAAGCTTATTTACACAACAGAAAAAGAGCTAATGTGACAGCTTTTTATTTTCTTCTCTGTATAAAATCCAACTCTCCTACTGCATTTTTATGGGTCCCTGTATTTGCTCAGAAAGTCAAATTCCTGTTTAGCCACTTCTTAACAATATAACCATTAACAAATCAGTTAACCCCTCTGAGTCTCAATTTCCTCACCCTAATTACTTATTAGTTTAGTGCATTAAATTCCATAAAGCAAGGTAAGATACATCATAACATGCATCATGGTAAGTCCTCATTTGTAAACTAGTCTGGTTAGGAGTTTGTTTTTTGAATGCCCCAGTATGATATTTTGAGAACCCTTTATAAAAAGCAAAGCTTAATGTTATATTTACCTGTTCTGGATTTTTGTAACCCAAAAGTAGATTTGCTGCTTTTATATCACCATGAACATATTCATTTTCATGTATATATTCCAGCACATCCAGCTGTGAAAAGAAATATGTAAGGTTATACTGATGTTAATTTAGAACTCATGATCAACCTGGACATTTTGAATATAGAATTACGTGTATTTTTTTCATATTAACAATGACAAAGTGGCATGTTTCACATTTATTTATCTATTCTAAAGCATTACATGTACAGGTTGCTCATCCTGGGAAGAGCTGAATAAAATGACCCTGAGATATCAAGTGCTTTCATCGAAACTTTGATGAAAGGAAATCAAGATTCAACAATGTCTATGCCCGTGCTCCTGACAGCCTGATGGCCAAACCACACTGCGCAAAGCTAAAACCACAATAAAATCAGAGACACAAAGGGAAATAATCATGAAGCCCACTCAGCAATTCCTTACCCAAGGAACAATTACAAACTGAGTTTTAGGGACTCCAGAACAGAACAGCATGTCCACGAGCAGAGAGGCATTCTCCCTCTGCACGGTAACAGAGTGAACCTCAGCTTCATCTCTGGAGCTGCCACCTACACCCAGTGTTCCGTAAACACTGGATTCTGCCTAACTGGATGAATGCACACGTGGGAAAATGAATGAGTTGTGTGTGTCACATCCCAACCCGGCATGAGCAGTTTCATTCCATTTAAACTGAAAAAAAATAAAAAAATAAAATGGAGCTTAGGCAAACTAAACACAAACAAGATAAGACAAATATGTGGTATAAACAAAATGTGTGCATGGGTGCTATTAAGATTTCATTGCTTCTTATTTGGCAAAGTATGCATTATTCATTGCCACACTAATTACTGCCACCATCCCAAACTCGTAATAAAAACTTTATAGCACCTCGATACCATCATGTGTTTAGTATGGAAAATAATATAATCTGCCATAGTTTGCATTGTTAAAAATGTAATTGACAAAAGAGAAGTTATTCTTATAGCAACATAAGCTTGTTCTGATATGTAAAACAAAGCTGTAAGAAAAAAAAATCATCAGCCTGGAGAACCAATGTCTCATTGCATTTGTAGTGCCCAACATGGCCCATTCTATCACTAAGGGAGACCGCTGTTCCCAATGTCACCAAAATAACCTGACTCTTAATACCTGACATTTCTAGAGCAATAATCCTTCACTCTCTAATAATTCCACAAAGGGCAACAATTTGTATATGATATCAAGTAAATAATCTGAAAATGGAGCATGTAAAATAAGTCATTCCTTCTTACCATTCGAATACCTAGCTGAAGGACAGTTGACTTTTTAAAGGTACCATTCTGGTCAGAGATCTTCTGTAAATCTGTTCCTAGTCTTTCCATTACCATAAATCTGTAACTACAAGAAGACAATTTCACAAAGAGATCTGAAGATAGCAATGCTTGAAACCTTCTGTATATGAATTGAAACAAGAGAAAATGTCCCAATCTAACAATAAAGAATGATGCAGTATGAACCATTAAAGAGAAACACATTAATAATGCTGTCCTTCTAAGATACTACTTAGTATTTTACTTTGCACTTAGTTTTCTAGAAGAGAGTGCTGTGCTGAACCACTCACACCGTCTTAGATCATGAAAAACTACTCTTTCTAAATTAAACAGTTTAAATTTAGTTCATTTTGATTCTATGACCTTCTTGCCACAGAGCCTTGAACAAATTGTCCATACAGAAAATTTTATTTATATTTGTTTTTGACCTTATAAAACCAAATTTACTGTCTCTATACATTTATAAGCAGAACTTTTTTAAAAAAAAATGGACTTTTTCTTGTTCTTTTCTGTTTGGCACCTCTTCTCTTCTCTTCTTCCCTTCACCTATCCACACGGGACCCTATTCTGCATCTATTACATACACAAACACGAACAGACACATAAAAACTTTTGTCTTTGTTGTACAAAAATGTGACCTTATTTTATGCACTTTTCTGAATCATGCTTTTTTCAATTGTATCTCATAGAAATCTTTCTAAGTCAACTGGTATAGCTTTAACCGATTTATTTAATGGGTTGCATAATATTGCACGATATGAAAGTATCATGCTTAGCCATTCAGTCCCCTACTGGAAGAGCTTTATTTTGTTGCAAGATTATTGTTTGTTCATTTTGTTTTTACTTACAGCATTTAAAGATCATTTGAGAAAAGCACTGACCTTTGAGCCTAGTTTTCTCACCAAGGGAAAACAAATCACCTATCGTTAAAGGCTACTGAAAGGACAAAATGGGTACGTAACAAAGGACAACATATTTTTTCTTTTTAAAAATCATTACAAGTGAATTATTTATATGTAATGATGAGCTATATTTGGTGGGTTTAAAAATATTTCTATTTCTAACAATTATTTTTCTTTTTTTTTGCCTCTCTGAAGAGATAGAGCTTAATTCTCCTCTCTTGAGTATAGGGTACATTTAATGACTTGCTTCTAGCAAAGAGAGTGCAGTAGAAATGATAGGATATCACTTCTCAGATTAGATTATAAAAAGACTGTGACTTTCTTCTTGGATGCATGCCCGTGTGTGCGCACGTGCTTTCCTCCTCCCTCCGATACTTGCTCTAGGGGAAGCCAGCTGCCATGTCTTTATACACTTGGGCAGCCTATGGAGAGATATGGTGAGGATGTGAGGCCTGCCAACAACCGCAGTAGTGAATTTAGAAGCAGATCTTTTCAGGCCTGCCAATGACCACATAAGTGACCTTTAAAGCAGAACCTTCCCTTGTCTAACCGTGAGATGACTGGAGCCCAAAAGATGGCTGAGTACACACATCCTCCTAAGAAGTCCTGAGCTAGAACCACCCAGGTAAGCCAGTTATGGATAACTGACCCACAGAAATTAAAGTAGTATCAGTTGGTTGTTATAAGCCACTCCATTTTGGGTCACTTGTTATACAGTCACAGATATTAATAGACCACATAAGAAACAGGTATTGGATAATATTTGATTATAATAATTCTATTTTTACCTTTTACCCTTGAATTCTGTAAGGCCAGATCCATAAAACACAGGAATTCCTAAATAATCAAGTTGTTTTAGTTTTATCCAGTTTTTGACTGCAAAGACAAATTTAATACAGAAAAAGATAAATGTTTTTTATAAAGATATTTCTTACTTTTGCATTGATGCTAAAACTTACTTAGCTAACCTAAATAGAAATTAAACCTTCCTAAAACTTCTTTTAGAAATCAAAAGTATCTACCAAATGGCTTTAATTCTACTTATCACTATATTTAACACAAAAACACAAAAAGATATTTTAAATTAAATAAATTATAACCAACTCTATTAATAAAAGGTTTTAGCACCATTAAAATAATAAATAAATAACAAACAAAAGTAGCAATAGTCATAAAATGCATCATCATATAGATAAATGTTATTTATTATTCATGAAAAAATTCATTCCTTTATATGCTAGTTAAATTTTTAAAAACATTTTAACCACCAAAGAATCAGTAGAGAGATGGCTTTTTCTTCCTTATTACTTAAAAATCTAAAACCACGGTAGTCAAATAATAGAAACTAGGCAGAAAAATGATCTTACTTTGAAATTATGTTATACAGAAAGTTTTGATTAAATTTAGTTTTTAAAAAATCAGATCCACTTAAAACAATCAGATAGCTTAATTTTTCACTTTTCCAACATGTAGAAAATTAATGTTTAAGAGAGCTCTACTGATAAACAATCAAGTTTAATGGATTTTATTTGTCACCCTGAAATATTTCAAGCAATCAGTAAAGACCACAGTCTTAATGTTTAGAAGGTTTTATCAAGGAAAAAAAAGTTAATTATTGAGGCTAAACTCATCATCCCTTTTCCTAAACATAATGTAAAGGACCTTTGACTGTAAAGTCATTACTCAGATCAACTTCCTTAAAGCTTTACTTAGTCCATACATAACTGACAGTGTTTAGAAAACGCTTTTATTCTTCTTCAGCTCTGCTCATACTCACTTCACATTCAAATCCTCTAACTGGTAGTTTTTACATCCGATCCTCAGTTCCAACTAATTTATCAAGATTCATATGTCTAGCATTTTTAACTTATTTTCTAAATCATCATAATGTTTAATAATCATAACACCTTACCCTAACATTCTAAGATCATTCCTTTTGTTTATGTATCTACTGCCCATGCCCATTTTAATTATTTTTCCTCACAATCCTTCCTACCCAAATGTTTTTTCAGAAAGATTTTTAAATTTATTTTTAGAATGAGGGGAAGGGAAGGATAAAGAGAGGAAAAGAAACATCAATGTGAGGGAGAAACACTGATCAGTTGCCTCCCATATGTGCCCTGGCCTGACGAACCCACAACCCAGGCAGGTGCCCTGACTGGGAACTGAACAAGTGACCTTTCGCTTTGCGGGACAAGGCCCAACCAACTGAGTCACACCAGTCAGGGCCAAGTCTTTAAAAATTAATTTCATTCTACTGTCTTTCACATTTACAGAACTCTTTTTTGGTAGCTTGGATCAATAATACATTTTATGTAAAGTAGTAGAAACAATTCTGAAATATATAGCCCATTACATAATATCAAAATTTGTAAACCACCTGTCTTTTTTTATATGTTGTAACAGATAACTGTATCATTTTACAATAACATTTCTAATTGGAAAGAATTTTCCAGAAGGCGAGAAAAAGATAAAATTATTTACACTCACTTTAGCAAGCACATATATGGAAGTAGCTTGCTTTGCTAATTTTACTTACTACATTCTTTTTTTGCAGCTCTTTGGTAAAATTTAAGTTCCGAAAATAATGGGCCGTTTTCTTGATACTCCTATAAAAGAAAAGAACAATTAATTTTACTTTAAGAATCTTAGAGATAAAATTGGTATTACAACTGTAAAAATATGGATATACATATGTAATATACAATAGTACTTGAATCATTATTATAAAACACAGGCACCAGATTTCCACTGAAAATCTCTACAGAAAGCACTAAATAAACTTAAAGAATCTCATTTTTAAATTTACCATATTGTAATGCTATCTCTATACAGATTTACACATGAAAGGAGTCTATTTAACTGAAAGCACTGAGAACTTAACACACACACAGACACTCAGTGTGTACCAACACGCACATCAGGAGATACACTGCAGACTACCTGGTGGCTCCTGCTACCTGATGCCTTTACTGAGCATCTACTGCATTTCATTCATTGTACTGGGCACAGGGGATAGGAACAAAAATAGAACCTCACCCCTGCCTGTAAGGACCATACATCTAGAGTAGAGAGGAAAGAAGACGGGAAGTGGGGGAGGCAGAAGAAGACAGACAGCTAGGTGTGAGATAAAAGGGTTATAGATGCTAACACAGAACAAAGTTCTCCAGTCTTTACATTTTAACAGTGCGAAAATATAACATTAGGTTTAATGATAAGTAAAGTTATGAAAACTATGAGAAACAATTTTACAAAACTAAAATGAATAAAGCAGAAAGAAGTCAAATATATGCAAAATACAAATTTAAGAGCAATACTTACCACTTTTATTACATGTCTTGCATCTTCATCTGGTTTATTTGTGGGGAAAGCTGCAGAACAAAACACAACAACAGGGAAAAAACAGTTGTTCCACATTACTGAATGCCTGCTATATTCCAGATACTGTGCTAAGTACACCACATATATTTTTTATTATATCCTCCAAGGGCCTGTTATAGTAGGTACCATCTCCATTTTACACAAGATCCAGCTAAGGTTTGACAAGTTGAATAATTTGCTAAGAAGTAGATAATAGGGGATTGAAACTCAAATCTGTCTGACACCACAGCCCACACTCTTTACCACAAACCATATTAAATATTCAAACAAGTAAAACCAATAAATGATATTAATCACAAAGATCTAAATGTGGGGGAAAATATTTTCCAGATATATGGCATTAAACCCAATAAATGATTTATAGTAAAATCTAGTCATTCATTTTTATTAAATTAAAACCTATGATAATTCAGAAATGAAAATTGATTCATTTTAAGTAGAAAGTTATAACCAGTTTCTACTTGTTAAAATTCTAAAGGAAGTCAAGTTAGAACAAGAACAGAGTCTTTTACAGATTCATAGAGAACAGGCCGACAGCCCTGGGGGAGGGCACAGGGTGAGGGCTCCAGCAAAAGAGAGAAGGATGCCCTAGACATGGACAGCAGTGTGGTGAGGGAGGGAGTGGGGCGGCAGGTGGAGGTGGAAGATGTTATAAGGGTGATAAATGGTATTGGAAAAATGTCAATAAAAATGAACTATTAAAAATACACAAATGATTTTTTTAAAAGTCTTCTAAAAATTATCCTCTGAATTCAGCAATCTGATTCCAACATTAAAGAATACATCTCATAATATATACTCATTTCAAGCTTACTCCATTTTATTATTTACCATTTGCATTTTATATGTGGTAATACAACTTCTGAAAACCCTATTGTTAAATTGTTAGATGAAATCAACACCTTCCTCTAAATTATTAAAAGATTCCTCTGTTTTCAAATCTTGAACAGGGAAGTTGACATGTATATTTATTTGTACTGTAAAGTCTAGGATTTTGTCATTCATCTATTCTCTCTCCATCCATCTATTCCTTCATTCATTCAACTAACCAATATTTATTTATCAAGAGGCTAGAATATGCAAGGCACCATGCTAAGCATTAGGAAGATATTTACAGGAGAGTGAAAAGAGAAAAGGTGAAATTGTTATTGACTAGGACTGAAAATCAGCACTTAGACTGAGAACAAGATTAAATTCTTCAGGCATATTTTCTGTATGTTTATCAAAATGCTATGTCCTCTTATTACTACTCCCAACATTTTTCCTTTTCTTTCTCCTAACTCTACCAACTGTTCTATTAATTCACAAGGTAGATGTAAAAAGTACATCATGACTTTACTAAAATATATAAATTGTACTTTAAAGTTGTACACATGCACCATTTTCTTACCCATTCTTCAAAATTTTGATGTTAGCAATGCTATTAGTCAGTTGAAGAAGTTATTACTTCAATTTTAGTGGATATTACAAATAAATTGTGAACCTAGATGTCTTTAGAGTAACAAAGAAACTAAACTTATTCATATTCAACTGAATTTCTCTTTTCATCTTTATTCATATAAAGTGGTTTTGTTTTCACTCATGCAGTAGTCCCAAGGCAATTGCACTCAGGAGAAGTGAATTATCCACATCTATGGAGGGGGAAAAAAAAACAACTATTCTCAGAAGAAGGGCTGCAGTCCTGCTAGAGAAGAAGTGAGAATGGCCTTTCCTCCCAAGCAACGGCAAATTATTTTTTTCTAGTACGACGCCCAAGGCTGCAGAGAAACAGTCCTGCCCTAACCCTAGCCCACTGGTCTTTGCCTTCTGGGTTATAAGCTGGTAAGAGGAAAAAAAAACAAAAACAAAAACCTTTCTGCTTCTTGTCTAAAAGCAAGTGACCACAGCAGTAAATAAACCTTTAAGCCAAACAGAATGTAAGAAGCAGAAAAGCACAAAAGGAAAATGGGGATTTCATTCAGGGGTGTACAACCTTTTGGCGTCTCTGGGCCACACTGGAAGAAGAAGAGTTGTCTTAGGTCACACATTAAATACACAAATACTAACAAAAAACTGATAAGCAAAAAAAAGGTTTTAAATAAATGTACAACTCTGTGTTGGCCCACATTCATAGCCATCCTGGGCCACCAGCAGCCTGCAGGCCACAGGTTGGACACAAGTGACATATTATGTTGTCATTGGGGAAACAGATATCAAACCAGTCCAAAACCCTACTCTTTGCTGATTTCAATCAGTACATCCCCACCATGGTATAATCTGAATCTTCCCTTCATATTATTATACATGAACACAATCACGTGTTGGCATGTACTTGAAACATCCCCATACTCCTCATTTGATAGCTACACAATGTTCTCTAAAACTCCCAAGTCAGAATGTATTGCAGAGCCCAAATCCTCAATCAATTGACTAGAAAGCTTTTGAAGATGGATGTTAAACAAATAAATTGCCTTAGTTACCATGGAGTTCTCTTTACAGTAATCAATCAGTTAATTAATGAAACAAATATGTATTTACCACTGTAAGCCTAGCCACATTCTAGCTAGTAAAATTAAATGATCTCAGTAAACAGACATGGTATCTGCTTTTATAAATCAGACATTCATCAAATACTCATACAAAGTGTAAAACTGTAATTATAAGGAATGTTAAAGAAAAACATAGACAGTAGTATGAGAATGTATAATTTAATCTATATAAATGAAAATGCTTGAGCAAAACTAGCTGGAGAGATGATAAAGGGCTAGATGAAAACCTAGTTAATAAATTCCAATGAAAGGCTTTTAAAAGCTTGAGATATACATGGAAGATAGGAAGCACATAACTACATCTACATTGTAGACAGATCACTGCACTGCAATGTGGAGAACAGACTGAAGGGGAACCTCGATAGATATGGACAGAGCAATAAGGATTCAATTGAGTACTATAGCTTGGACTAGAGCATCGATGTTAGAAAAGAATGTCCTTTATAATGTTGTAAAGAAAAATAACAGATTCCATAGATTTCCGAAGCTGATTGAACTTAACAATGGAAGAAAAGGGGTCTAGTTGGTAAGTTACAGCTTGATTGATCCATTGGTGGATGAGAAGAATGATCAATCACCAACAGTGATAGTGTTAAAAGTGTGTAGTCTCATACCTGAATTTAAATTTCTGATGAGAGGTCCGATGACCTGATAAGGAACGTGTTGTGCACATATGTGATATCTCCTTCCTAGCATTTATTTTCTATGCACTGGGAACCTCATCTGGTTTTCCTTTGAGAAATGAAACCTCCCACTTTCCATGTGGACTTACCCCCTTATATCCCAGAGTTGGTATCATGACCGAGCCTGGCTAATGGCAAAATGCAAGCCAGAGTAAATAGCTCAGAAATGGCAAAATGCCCCAACTAGGTAAAAAAAAATTCTTCCCTAAGATTTGATGTTAAAGTGCTAAGTAAGATAAACCGTAAGCTATAAGGATGCCAAAACCCTAGAAATAGTAGTGATCATTTTCCTTAACTAAATGGGAAATAAAGTCTGAAAACCAAATCCAACCCTGAGGAAAGCAGGGTTAAGGCAGAGAGAGAGCCCTAGTCTACCCATGTGTACACCCAGAAAAGCCATGTATGTACCACTTACAAGAATTAAAATCACCCACTTGTGTTTCTAACATTGGCAAAGACCACAGAGAAAGCAACTAGAAAAATTAAAATATAATACTAGCACACTAGGTAAACCAAAAACTTTCTTCTATAAAAATAAACAGGGTGCTGAATAAAATAAATCAAACGTTCTTATAAATGCAGAGGTAGCCCCCACCCCCGCCAAAAAAAAAGGAAGGAAGCCCAAGGCAAAGGGAAATCTAAAAGGCAGTGGGGGATGTGCAGAGCACTGATGTCCAGGCCACACCATGCCCCTGAAGGAGGCTGCCCAGGCAGGGTGACTGAGAATCCGAGTGTGAAAAGTTCTCCTGGAAAAAGGACAAGTCCTTGGGTCTGCAAGGTAAAGACATTTAAAGTTGAGATGCCCACAAAGTCAGAATTTTCAAAGTGCTGCATCTTTAGGAATGTGGGGCATTAAAATGATAGGGAGATGGGTAGAGTGATAAAGGGGTGGGAGAGATGAAAGAGAGAATGAATGAGAGAGAGAATATAAATAAATGAATGAATCTACTACCACAAAAAGAAACAAACAAAAAAAAAACTTGTCTTAGCCTAGACCTTGAATGTTAGGAAAAGCAAAGTGTCTCCTGATAATTATTCCAAAAGTTTCCTTCAGGAATTTAGGCTAAAAATTATACCATAGTGTGGTACAAAAACTCAAAACCAATGACAGCAACTGTCAGGAAAAAACAAATCTCCCTGAAGGGACTCTTTGGACACACAAGACTACCATAGCTAAAGCATGTCGAAAGATAAGTCAGTGATCCATAATTACAAAACAGAAGAAAAGACACAAAAGGTAAACAACCTCAAGAAATATAGATTGCCAAGAGATCTACAGATTGAATATATGCTTAAAATAATAACACACCACAAACAAAGGTATCAGTAAGAAACAAAGCAAATGCTATAGAAACATGTGTGAAAAAATTGATTATGATTAGAAAAGCATCAGAGATCTAAGAAAGAGTGGCCACGAACAGGAAATACATTAGAACTCCAAGGGAAAACCTGGGAGTAAGTCTGAATTTGCAATAGCAAATACTGGAAGCTACCCAAATAACTATCTTTGGTAGAAAGTTTAACAAATTGTATTAAAGTCACATTGCAGCAAAGCAAATAAATGAAATGCAGATACTGTAGCAATAGAGATATATCTTAAAGACATACTGTACAGCAAAAGAAGCTGCATAAAACAGAACAAATACTTGTGATTCAATTTATATAAATTTTAAAACCCACAACCTTAAATTATGTTTGGTTCAGGATGCATATATACATATAACTATGATAAAAAAGAGCAAAATGAAAAGTGTTGTTAGCACTGCAAGAGAGGGAAGA